AAGTTTTTTTTTGCAAAAAAAAATTTCAATAAACACATGTACATTTATACAAACGAAAAAAACTTACTTGATTTTTGTAATCTTGAAATTTTTAAAAAAATTTAAGCGAGGTCCTGGTTTTGGTACAATAAGTGATATTGTATCATTGTCCAGTAAGTAAAACGATTCATCAATTTCACCGTCTAAACAACGCAAAATTGTTTTGAGGTTATAAACACGTTCACACTTCAGTCTTCGCTAATTCAATCAAAATAATAAACATACCTCCAAAAGATGGAATGTAAGATTCCATATTCCACGACATTAATAAATTTTTAACAAACTCGTCCATATTTTTATTCACAACTTTTTTCACTATATATAAACACGTGCGTGAAAACACAAGGACCGCAATTGAATAGGCGAAGTATACACCACAATCAGCGCATGCGCTCACATTTAATTTTTACAATATTTGATAGTAGTGACTACAATCCAAAAGCTAACATATTTTACGTCTTTGGGTAACATCTTGGATAGTAAAATGTTGATAGTAGATTCTTGTCAATGATGGTACCTTGTACAATCTTTCTTTTTACTATCAGATTCTTACTATCCATTTATACAATCGTCGATTCCGGCACAATATAGCAATTAAAATATTCGCAACTAATTGTCCTTAGAAAGTGTGAGCAAGCAAGAGTGGCAGAAGGGGTGAAAACCACCCTCAAAGTTCACCCCCCAAAAATCGTTTTTTGCAATTTTTACGTAAACCCTGGTAGAAAAAAATCATGGGGCTAGCTAGCACTGCTAGACTCCATAGTGGCGCTTATGTAATCTAGCGGTGCTAGCTAGCGCCACGATTTTTTTCTACCAGGGAATGAGTAAGAATTTTCTCCTTTTTCAAATGCATAGTGAACTTTGGGGGTGGTTTTCACCCTTTATAGTTGTGCGATAGAGCACTTATAAAAATATCTTACGTGTCAAATATTTTTCAAAAAACTACAACATACACTGAAAAAAATTTGCTTCGCATTAGTGACTATTAACCATAGCAACTTTAAATCTAGTCAGCGTAATCAAGCATCATAGTCAATTCAGTTAAGTAGCTTAGTTAATATTGTCAAAGTCGATTTAGTAGAATTGACCCCTTGTTTCCTAGTTATATTAACTAAGGTGTTTGCTTAATATCGCATGTATCTATAGTCAATTTTTGCTAAAGTTTAATCAGTCAAAGTGATTTTAGCCAATGTTAATAAGATACCTGGTTATTCTGATAAGCTTCCCTAGTCATTCCGACTAATTGTCGAAATCAACTTTGACCAAGATTGCCTAGTGGGTTCCTCTCGTAACCAGGCAAATTAGTCAATTCCTGGTATACGGGAGTTAGGAATTTTTTTCAGTGTATATCACAAGATAACTGAAATCGGTGAGGTACACCTGGGTAGTGTTCCTTGTATAAGAATATTGTAAAAATAGTCTAAAGTAGTCTAACCGCTGCAGAGAAGAAGTGTGACAAACTTACAAAGAGGACCTCAAAGTCAATGTAATCTCCCCTTAACAATTTTTTTAAATTAGTAGGCCAGAAATGTTATTATTTTTTGCTTAAAAAATATTTTTTTTGTTTCAATAATTGATCATAAACGTTGTTGTAGATTTTATAATGAGGAGAACTTTCATATCGAAGAATTTTTATTTATAACTATAAATTCTAATTTAATAGAATATTTCTGTTTAACTGAACATTTGTATAATAAATTTTCGAATAACATAATTTCCATTTAATGTTGTTGTTAAGCGACAATTCTGTTAAATAAAAATTAGGTCGAATAGAAATTTTCTTTAATAAAAGTTCTGTTAAATAAGAACTCGATACCTCCATTTTGCTAGTCATAATTTTTGTTAAATGAAAATTGTATTATACTTGAAAATTGGATGTATTAGGATATCTAATACACAAAAATTCAGTTAATTACAAATTCTATTAAATCAGAATTTATAGTTAAATATAAATTAGTTATAACATCTTTAAATCTCTTTTTGGTGTTAACATTTTATTTTAAATCTTAAATTTAGTTAATATTTTTGGTCTTTAAAAGTTGACGCACGTTTAAAACAATTATATTTAGTTTTAAAATCACATTCTAAATCTAATGAAAATTCAGTTCTTTTTTGTTATTTTTTGAGTTATTTTTTTATTTATTGATCGTCAGAACAGAATATAGTCATAAATTTGTAATAAAATGTAGGGTAAGTCCGGAGGAGTTGGCCATAATTTTTTTAAAGGCCTGTAAAAATAAGAAGAAAGTGATTTATGTAATAACTTTTATTGCTAATTAAACATTGAACATTTAACTTACAAATAATAATAGAAATGATAAATTTTTTAAATGTAAACAATCTTAAAATTAATATTTTTTAAAAAACACGTTTGGCCATCTCTCCCGGAATGTACGGGGGAGATGGCCAATACTTTAAAATCATTCTTTGGCTTTTCGCTTTATCAGAATTCTTTCTTTAAAGTGATTAATACTTCTTTTCTTCTTCTGACCACATTTCGAACATTTATCATTAAATTCAGTGCAATTTTCATGAAGTCAAAGGTGACAATCATTGCACTGAATTCAGTCTTCGATAAGCGCTCTCTGTTTGTCTGTCTCACCAACACAACAAGTCTACAAGGTATTTTTTTGAGATATCAGAGTGGTTTCCAATTTATTTTTGTGTCCTGAACACGATCTCGGGTTACAAAATTGCGTATCACGTCAGGATTTTGAGTAAAGTGGGGGTAAAGTCTCCAAAACCCGTGTTTTTGAGGGTTTTTAGTATTTTTTTCCCCCTTAACCTGACGTGATAGAGACTTCTATATAGGCTTAAATTAAAGCTTATGTCTTACACTTTAAGACTCACACAGAAAATTAAAAGGTCTTAAAATAAGCTGCAACGCTTATTATTTTAATTCAATTTTCCTTATTTTAATAACAAAATGAATTAAATTAAGCAAAATTGAATTAAAATAATAAGCGTTGCAGCTTATTTTAATGCCTTTTAATTTTCTGTGCATATGCGCAAGGAAAAAAATTTGAAATTTTAAATAAAAATTAGGTTCAAGTTACCTCTAAAAATATTTAAGGGGTATTTATCCCCATTTTTTTCAAAATTTCAAATTTTTTTTTAATCCTGCGTAAAGGAGTCTTAAAGTGTACGATCTAAGCTTTAATTTAAGCATATATATAGAAGTGTCTAGCACGTCTGGTTAAGGAATAAAAAAATAATGAAAACCCTCTTTTTGGAGACTTTACCTCCACTGTATTCAAAATCCTGATGTGACACGCAATTTTGGAACCCGGAATCGGGTTCAGCACACAAAAATACATTAGAAACCACTCCGCTATATATATATATATGTTAGGCTCAAAAGCCGAAAACGGCCAATGGCCGAAAAAAACAGCCAAACCTAGTTTTGGCAAACGCATTTTTGCCAATACTAGTTGTGGACGTTTCCCAACGGCCATTGGGCGTTTTAAATTGACAAAACCAGTTTTGGCAAACAGAAATTTGCCAAAACTAGTTTTGGCAAACGCATTTTTGCCAAAACTGGGTGAGGCATTTTTAATTATGACAAAAATTTAAACAATAAATTTTCCACACAAATTTTTCTCTTTTAGCAATGTATTTTTACACAAAAATCAATTTCTGTACAAAAAATAAGAACCTAAATTGTGAATTTGAATTTTAAGAACAATTTTCTCCATTGAAAAGATAAGAAAGAAACTGTATCTGCATGAGCCTTGTCCAAAACGTGAAAATATTCCTCGACTTTGCAAAAATAACGTATTTCGCGATTTCCGTCTTCCTGCAGTTTCGTATTTTCAATCAATTTCTCTGTAGCACCAATATTAATTATGTCAAAGCGCTTTAATCGACGATAATGCTTGGTCGTCATGGGTTTTTTATTCATATGTAAATCTTTCGCTTCTATCACTTCAGATAAAATGGAGTTATACTTTTCAGTGGTGAACACTTTGTCAGGATTTAAATTTTTTAAATGCTGTTGCACTTTTTCGTCGAATTTACAAACTTTTTCCATTTTAATTAATTGACAGATACAGAGGCTATAACGTTTCAGCGAATACTAATTTACCTTGTTGACAATTTCTGATTTCATACACAAAGACATCAATACAGAGAGAAAATTGTTCTTAAATTTCGAATTCACAATTTAGGTTCTTATTTTTTGTACAGAAATTGATTTTTGTGTAAAAATACATTGCTAAAAGAGAAAAATTTGTGTGGAAAATTTATTGTTTAAATTTTTGTCATAATTAAAAATGCCTCACCCAGTTTTGGCAAAAATGCGTTTGCCAAAACTAGTTTTGGCAAATTTCTGTTTGCCAAAACTGGTTTTGTCAATTTAAAACGCCCAATGGCCGTTGTGAAACGTCCACAACTAGTATTGGCAAAAATGCGTTTGCCAGAACTAGGTTCGGCTGTTTTTTTCGGCCATTGGCCGTTTTCGGCTTTTGAGCCTAACATATATATAAAAGTGTTATTTTGTAGACCTGTGTTATGATTGTTTATAAACGTTTTTAAGATTTAATTACACACTAGTGATTATTTTATTTGATCATATTTAAATTTGAAAATCTTTGTTGGAGTGTCTTGTTGTAATATATATCATGAAAAATGTAATTTGCTTCAGAATTAATGTTTTTTTTAGCGAACACACAAATCTCAAGGGTACCAATTACTTAAACAGTATGGCCATCTCTCCTAATGTCAGGAGACAAATTGACACAACTAAAATATAAATAAATAAATAAATAAAATTTTTGAATAAATAAAATTTGTGATTTACCACAAAACAAAGCGAACTAATCTTTAATAAGCGATACCTAGCAGCAAATTCTATAAAATATTTGAATTGGCCATCTCTCCCGCATGGCCAACTCCCCCGGACTTACCCTAAATGATGAAATTTCACAATAAATTGATGTGTGTTTTATATTTTTGTTTTATAGACGGAAACAAGATGAGGTGCAAGTCCTGGAGGAAACAATAAGAGCGCGTTCGGAAAAACATAAGAAGGCTGGAATAGAGCTAGATGCAACGTGTCATATATGTTTAAAAACCAAGTTTGCCGATGGTGTAGGGCACATCTGCAATTACTGCAGCATCCGGTGCTGCGCACGCTGCGGTGGAAAGGTCTCTCTTCGCTCGAATAAGGTAGGAAATTACAAGTAAATTTTTTTCAATGTGGAATTGTTTCCTAATGACTCAAATAAGATATAAATCAAGTTGAAAAATCATTATATGACAGAATGATAAAGCAAAATGAACTGTTAATTCAACAAATTTCATAGGCAATATTGATCATAGATTATTCCCTCTTTTTTTTACCCCTATTTCCGAAATTTTATCTTTTTCGCAGTAATGAAAATGGATTTTTTTTTCTTTTCTTTTATATAAACTGAAAAATTTATTTGATTCCAATAAACGATTATTTGTCTATTATCAAATAAATATTTATTTGTATTAAATAATTATTATTTGAAACAATTAAATCGTAGTTGTTTCAAATATAAAAATTATTGGTTCAAGTAAATATTTATTTGATAATAGTCATGTAACCGAATATTATTTGCATTAAATAATTTTTTTTTCAGTTTATATATATGTATAATCAGAAATATGAACATTTCTGCTAACGTCAGTTCTTAAACGGATGTTGCAGCAAATGAAAAACCAATGTAATATTATAGCCAAAAATGTAAAACTGGTCGAATCCGCGACCTGAAAAGAAACTATTGCGCAGAGTAACAATAATAAGAAATCATTCTTACAATATTCTTATGATATTTAAATGCTGCTTATGTTATAAGGTTTTTTTTTATTTATCAATTTGGAAAAGCTTTTGCTAACATTATTCAAAACTTTAACAAAACTGAAATAGTGAAAAACAAAATGATTTTTTTGTTGAAAAAATACAATAAATACGTCAACTGAATTTCTTTTCGTAAGTTAAAACCTCGGACATTAAAGTGCTCTAATGAAAATGGTAAAATTCGGGCAACAGTCAAATAACATTTTAATTCAAATTTCTGTAGAAACGATTAAAGTTGCACTGAAAGGACATTAGTCGAAATGTAATGTCGGGCTCGTCTAAAATACGTGGAAATAAATAATTGAGCTGGTGTATTCGCTCTAATATACACCAATTTATTAAACCTTATCGCAATAGTATACCAGCAGTGGGCGTAAATGTCGTCACTGAATAACTGTTACAATGTATACACCACAATATAGGCCGTTTTAGACAATTTCTCTGTTATCGCTTGTATACCATTACGTTTTTATGCGCACCAAATTTTCAATAATTCTTTTTTTTAAAGTAAACGCAATTTTTTTAATTATACACACTAAGAAAAATGTTTAGTCAGAGGAAACAAAATTTGGTTGGGCCAACAAAAAAATTTTGTTGGTATTTAAGCAACCAAACTATTTGTTTGAGTCAACAAAAAAATTTGGTTGAGTGTTTTTTGTTGATATAATAAAAATGTTTGGTTAGCCCAACCAAATTTTTTTTGTTAGGTCAACAAAAATGTTTGGTTGATCAGACAGTTTTTTTTTTGTAAAATTAAAAATTTTATTCTACCTTATCTTTTTTATTTATTTCATTATTTATTTATTATAAATTTAACATTGAAATTATATTTATCCAATTGAAATATTTGAGGACTTTGAAAAATCTCATCTCCGCCTGGGATCGAGCCTCTGTTTTAAAACTGAAGGTCGGGAGCTCTAACCACTGAACTACCCATTTTTTTTTTTTTGAAACAATCTTTATTAATCCAATTATTTACACTATTTACAAATTCTTAACGTTAAGAAAAACATTGTTATAAAAACTTTGGCTTATGTTGTAATTACAATATATAATCTGACGGCTCCTTAAGGAGCGCCCGCGGATTTGCCATTTTTGGTTGGAGAAAGGTTGCTTTATTTTATTTTGAAATATGATTACTAAAAGTAATATAATATTAATAACGTAATGTTTGATTTAGAAAAATAGGAAAAAAAAACTAAATACATCTGATAACTGGACTATACACATCCTTGTGATAGATTTGGAATTTAAAAATGTTCAACCAAATAATTTGGTTGGCCAAACCAAATGTTTGGTTGAGATAACTTTACGACTTTGTTTCAGCCAACCAAAATTTTTCTACAAGAACCAAAATTGCCTAACCAGACAATTTTGTTGCAAACACTAAATTTTTTTCTCATGTGGAAATTATTAAGTAACAAAATTGTCTTGATACTAATGTGCATACCTTATTAGTTAGTTAACGCTAATAAAAACGATCGACTACTACGAATTAATACTTATATAACAATATAGGGTACTCGGTACAATGATTGGCCTTTTAAGAAAATTTTCATGTTTGACACAATTCCTAATTTACTCCAGCTGTCAAAAAAGTTTTTGACATAAAACAAATGCAAATTTATTTTATTAAAATTGTAAATAATGACTAAAGAAAAGAAACTTGAAAAAATACGATGCTGAAGTTAACAATGTTTATGATCGCAACGATTTTTAAAGAAATATTTTTTTAAATTAAAAATTCTATTAATTTTTGTCTCAAAAATATTTTTAGCAATAGCAAAAAAAAAACATTTTTTTAGATAAAAAGTTTTATAATTTTCTGTCTTAAAACAAATTTGTTTTCTAATATTTACACTTTTTTGAAAATAACACTCACACTTATGGCAAAATAGATGAGGGCCATCGTAGGGGCCCGCATGGATCGCCCTCATGATCGATTAGCAAAATTTTCTAAGTCCAAAATTCAAATATTTTTTCGTCAACAAAAAATGAATGTTTCCAATGATTCAGAACAACGAAAAACGCGTTTTTAATAAAAATATATTTACACTTTTTTTGAAAATTCACCTTAGATGATTCATGATAATAATCATAAAGCATATAATTAATTATATTTTATAAATTGCATTTGATTGGAAAATATAATTTAATATCTTAACTTTAACTAAATGATGTTAAGCACTTCTCTTTGTTAGGTATTTTTTAAGTTTAAATAGCATCAAGAAGTTAGCATTCGTTTTGAAGTAGCGTGCGTAGCGTAGTTGGTAAAGCGTAAGACTCATAGTCCGTAGGTTCGATATTTTTTAATTTTTTAATTAATTAATTTATTATTACTTTTAATTATATCCGACAGTTAATTAATAAATTCAATTTGAGTAAGAATTTAATTTAAAATTGAATAATTATTAAATAAATATGTTATTTATTCATAACTTAAGCTTATTTATTATTAATTAACTTTTATTATTAATATTATTGATTAAAAAACATTATGGCAAACTTGAGGGCAAGATGAGGGCAAACGTGAGGGCCCATAAGGGCGCCCGTAGGGGCACCCTCATGGATCGCCCATGCGGGCGCCCTCATCGATGAGCATGTCCCATGAGGGGCCCCTATGGATCATCCATATGCGCCCCTCATGGCATGAGGGCGATCCACACGGGTTATGTCAAAAAATATATTTATTGGGCAAGTTGTACAATGCAATGATTGACTGGGGCGAAAAAATGTATTTTCAGAATATTTAAGATTTTTATTTAATAACTGCTTTGATTTTTAGTTTTTTTTATAACCAATCGATAATATTTGAGTTGCTCTTTCATTTCCAAAATATTTTCTTATATATGAAAATTGATAGTTTTTAAGTTGCTGCGTTTGTTTTTCAAAATTATTATTATATTATTGACCCCCTAATAAATTCAAAAACTGTTATATTTTTAAATAAAAAATTATTTTATTATGTATCGCTGCTCCATTGTGTTAAGTTTATTATATATAATTGACAAAATGGTTTGATGTAAGTTATTTGAACTTATTATATTTATATTTTAACAAGGCGGCCAATTATTGTAGGGTGGCCAACCATTTTACCGAATACCCTACGCACTATAAAAAGAAAATTTTCTTTTATATGGGAAGAAAAGAGTCTTCTTTTTTATGCAACATTTTTCAAATTTTCTGATAAATTTTACTTATTATCAACGCTTTTGTTAACATTTTTAAGTTATAAAAGGACAATTTTATATAGGGATCAATCAATTATATATTTCATCTATAAAGTCGTTGCGAACTATTTTTAGAAAAATCTTATACTTCGTAATAATAATTGTTATTATCCATACAATTCATTTTTGACAATTATTGAATAAAATTTTATTCTTATAAATTGGAATTTAAAGTTTTAAGATATGAGTTGTATGGAAAAGAGTTAATTTCTTTAAAAATTTAATAAAAAAGCACAGAAATAATATAGATAATGTCAATTTCTTCATATTATTATTATTTATTATTATATTTAAGAATTTAAGACGCACTTTTTTTGAAATTTGAATTTCAGATACTTAAATTTTTTAAATACATAATTAATTATTAATTTATAAATTTATAATTAATCCTCAAAAACGAAAAAAATGACAAAAAAAAGAATTTGAAAAATTTAGTTTTAAATAATTTATTGAAAATTTATTTTTGAGTTACACTTTTTTAAAAAACATTTATGAGTTCAAATTTTGGGAATTATTATTCTAAAACTTTTGCCAAAGGATCAAGGATTTTATAACTATTATGTATTATATATGTGAAAAAAGAATAGTATATATACGATGAAAAAATAATTTCTTTCTTTCACTCTTGAGTTCTTCGTTCTGTCAGACGTACTTTGCCCAAGCACTTGTGAAAATATCTACTGTGTGCGATAAGAATATTGTTTTTTTTCTTCTTTCTCTTGGATGAAGTTTTGCTTCAGCTGTTTTGTCATTTTCTTTTCTTCCGACTTGCGTACTATATCCATGGTACTTCGTGATTTATGCTCATATATGATAGTATGTATATATATATATATATATCCTATATAATAAATCTCTAATCGATAAACTCTCGAAGTTTTGTCACAGTAACCTGTATCCCATTGGTCGAAGTGTTATTCGTCATCTTCGTCTTTCTCCGTCTTACAAGTACGATTATCAGACACGTTTAGCCCGTATATACGAATATACACTCACATATGAATAAAAGCATTGTATGCGTTAGTTTCTTTCTTCATGCAAGCATGTTATGTATATATAATACATTCAGTCCGAATAAGGTTCTACTGATGCACAAATATATTAGAAAATTT